TTGCTCGCGGCTGAGTCCGTAGTTTGTGCGAACATGTAGATATTTTGTTATACATAAAGTTAGCAGGTGAAACTACAGTCGATTGAAAATAAATCAAACTTGGAACTTATCTTTGAGTGAAGACCATGGCGCATGAGAAATGATCCAACAGGTCGAGCAAGTAACACGCCGTAGTGATCCCAAATGATTCTCTTGAGAGTCAAATGGATCGTTTTAAATTCCCAATTATCGTCGATATACGAAGCTGATACACCAAGGAAGGCATACCGACTTCCCTTGGTAGTCCATCCATCGTGAATTAAACAAAATTTACTCGGATTATTTTTGAGGGTCAAGATAGCCTGGTCTTGAAGTGATCGAGCCAAACCTTTGGCCTCTTTGGCTATCCAAGTCGGAGATCGAAGAAGAGCTTGCGGGTTGGACCATGAAAAAGCGGCGGAAAGTTCGTGATCATCGATACGGAGCCAGGGAAGAGCATGGAGTAGGATCCATAAGACCATCATCTTGTTCAGTGTCTCAACAGTGAATTTGACAAAACTAGTTATTGTAGATTGTTTCATTTCAGGCGAATCAGGCGTGTTCTCTTCTTCCCAAGTTGGTGGACACCGAGCACCATTTTTGATTGCAATATGACGTTGAGGACACGGTTTCCAATTCTGTTTTCCATCTCTATGTGTCTGTAAGTTATAATGATTCGTTTCACCATCCTTGTATTCATTTTCGCACCACTTGCATTTATACCAAAATACTTTTCTCCACTTTTCGACCTTTTTATTAGTTTTCTAACAAAATGTATTGACAAATACATTAATCAGCAGAAGGACAGGATCGAATTTCAAAGAAAATGGCCAATAACATACCTTGTCAAGTTCTTTATACTTTTCCATTGCCTCCCGAGGTTCTTTCTCATAGTAATCAAACAAATCTTTGACTTTGGCAGTACGTGCCTTGCCCTTAGACTCCTGAGTAACATCTTCTTCACGATCGGAAGTTCGGTCAACGTTCATACCGTCTGGAACCATGATGACCTTGATTTTTCCATTAACATAACAAAATCAAAATTAGACTCAACTCGAGCAAGGTAAATGAAACTGTTCAATACAATATCTCACCTTTGGAAGCGGGGCCACACGCTTCTTCTTTGCAGGTTTGCTCTTTTGTTTCTTCTGAGCTGCTGCTTGAGAGTCTGAGTGCCCTCCAGAAGAGGGTCTTTGGCGACGCTTACGAGGTTGAGCTTGTGTCGAAGTAGGAGCAGTACGGTGTTCGATGATCTCAACTTCATCGGAATCGGAATCGGATGCCTCGCTATCACCACCACCTTTGCCTTCACCTTCAAAATCACCATCCTCATCACCTTTGCCATCCTCATCACCTTTGCCATCACCATCAACTTCACCTTTCCCATCACCATCACCATCCTTACCTACTGTCGAGCCAGGGGATGTAGGATCGGGCTGTTTCCAAGACTTGCGGCGATCAGTTGAGCCAATAACAAGGTTTGAACCCTTCTTAGCAGGACTACGAGGCCGGAGGGTCCGTCCAGAGCCTGGAACCTGTAGTGATGAAGAGGTCGAAGTAGGTTCTTCAGCACCAGAAGCATAGGTATCAAGTGAAGGTGAAATCGCCATTATGAGACAGTTATAATGATGGAGACCTTAAGGGGACTTGAAGAGATGGGACAATGGCTATTGTTGTACAATTCCGAACAATAGCTTTTTTGCTCGTTATTCCTTTTACAGGTCATGATGAGACTATCAAAATGATACCATCATCCAAAACGGTTATTTAAACACCTCATCAGCGAAAGGATCGCCACTTCTCTTTTCACATGTAGTACATATACAGGCAGGAAAGGCCTGCTCGCCTTCACCTCTCACAAACTCGCAACTGACCGCAACATATTTCGGTTCGTTGCGAGTTTCGGTTCATCAAACCTGGGTTCGTTTCGATTGAACCAAAACCACTCATTTTCTCATCCTATTTCGGTGCGGTGGCACCGAAATCATATTTCGTTTCGTTTACAAATCTATATCGCACCGAAATCGCACCGAAACTGAAATATGTTGCGGTGCGATTTGGGTGTTGCGGGCCGTACCCTCATTCTTCTGATGGACTTTACGGGTACCGTCGTCCCTTTG